GGGGGGGGTACGCAGTAGAGAAAAGCTGAGGGGGAGGGGGGGGCGCAGACGAGGGACGAACCCACGGCAGGAAAGCGAGGCGAACGTAAAAACCTGGAAGGGTAGAAGAGCAGTTTCAGTGTCGACGCCACGGCACGAACAAAGAGAGAGTGCATATGGACGAAGCGGAGAGCAGCCGTAGTGAGGAACCGGACACACGCAGCGGTGTTTTTTTCAGGGTTGGCACTTTATAGGGGTTTTGCCGCCGCTATATTTTTTGTGGAGCCCCTTTCACGTTCGACCGGCACCGACGTGGCTAGCACACACACAACACATTAAATAATCCCACACATATCACGTTTCCTTCTTTGTAAAGGGCTTCCGAAACGGCAAAAGAGACACACTGCCTATCGCCCTGACAGCAATCCAAAAAGCAATAGCACCAGGCAATCGCTCGGTTTCTACGGAAGATGTTAAGTGATCTAGAATAGGCCACGATTGCACCCCCCCTCCCCCGCGAACCGCAATTCTGTTGTTGCTGTGATCACGTGGAATTCTATCGCGTCCGCGCTCTAATCAACGGGAGCCCCTCGTGGACGCTTAGCTTAGCTTAGCTTTGCAAGGCTCGCGTGAGGTGGTAAAACACGTGGTTGCATCCACGTGCGCCCTGACAGGATGCTAATCTTTATTGTGTGCCCCCCCGTCAACGTGAAGGGCGATTAAAAAAGGTGACGCAAAAAAAAGTCGCGAGTGTTGTTGTTAGCCCAGCATCGAAACAAAGGCAGGACGACATCTGATGGTGTCATCGCCACACGACAGCTTTGTAGCGAGAGACATCTTCAACCAGAACGGAAAAAGACTGACTGTGGGATCCGTAATGGTGTTCGTGTGGTTGGTGTCGTCGGTTTGTAGCATTTTTCCTCATTCGATCATGACCCCGATCAAGCACGAAGGTTCGGCTAGATGATAAAAGCTCCGCAGCAGTTCAACCCACATCCGCTTCACTTCAATACCGGATTGCTATAATCGGACGATGCCAAGCCTTGGCTCTGTATTGGCACAACTCCGCCATGGCGCATGTGACGTCTTGCGGGTGATTCATCAACCCCAGGCAACCGAAATAAATCGTGCAAGAAAGCAGCACATCACCTTTTCCAGGCAGGCCGCAAGCCTGGCGGGGTTTGCCCCCAGCTCGTGGAGGCGTCTCTTCATGACCTTGATCGGCATCGCGGCCACGAGCTCCTCAAGGCCGCCGCTAAGGCTTCGGGCAAGCTCGATGGGCTGTAACTGCTGCTGCCGCTGCTGCTGCTCTTCCAATGCCTCTCCCTCATCTCCATTCTCTGACTGCTCCCGCTGCTGCTGGTAGAAGTGGTGGCAGTCTTCCAGGAGAGCTGTTGCGGTTTTTCGTTTGCGTTATACATAGAGGGGCGCGCGCAGGGGGTGGTCTGAAATCACCCAATGACCCTCTACAGCCGGGCTAGATCACGTTGGGTGTGTTCTTTCGCCGACCATGTTTGGCATTGGCTGACACCAACAGGCGCGTGAATCACCATCGAGGCGTTCCACAAAGGCCATAACTAGTGGATGCGGTAAGCTATGAACTGCATTTCAAGAAACAAGCAGCAAGAACAGGCCGAACAGGACAAAGAAGACCGGTTGTCTGGCAGCAAGAGAAAGCTTCGAACGACGTGATGATTGTTGTTTACTGAAAGCTTGTACTTCCTAGTTGGTTGTTTTTCGAGAGAAAGGCGGTGGGAGGGTGTACTCGTAGTCGTGCATGCCGTAGTCGATAGACCATTGACCTCGCATCCCTACAAAGCCGGGACGGAGCACGCCGGGTTCTCACCGGACCAGGCTCTCACATCACCAAGCGCGAAGCGCCGTGAGATATTCGGCGAGTCGCATGAAGGGTGCGTTGCATCCTGCTAGGGATGTTCGGCATGATGTGCTTACTTCCCTGCGTACCGATGACAGCTGCGTATGACTTCATTTATTTTCTGGTGCTTGCACTTCCTGAGACAGTTGTAAGCACTGTGTAACTGCC